TCACGTTGTGGTGTTGGCGGCGGCGGCGGGGAGGGGGCGAGGGGGTACTCTCATTTGTCGTTTTCATTGGGAATATTGCCGCATGTATAAAACGTTTAGTCATTTATTCATAACAAAACGAATATAATTCGAATTACGATGGAAACGCTATCTCCATTGTTACGTAATTATCTCGTTGACTGACAGTACATGTGTTTTATGGATTTTATGGTTGAATCAACGAGTTAATGTAATCCCCTGGTATGAATCAAATATTTATGTTGAATTAATGGAATTTTCGGTAAATGGGATGATTCATTATGTAGGTGGTAAATGGATTTTATATAAATAGAGAGGAGAAATTGTGGGAAATTGCTGGAAGCTATTATGGTAATTTTGATGAATTTAGCTGATTTGTTTATTTCTTTTTGCATGGGTAAATGATGTTTGGAAAGAGTACCATGAGAAAAGCGCGAAATGGTTAGTGAAATAGTAAAAATAAAATGGAAGGCGAAATTTTTATTAAATCATTTGCTCACGAGGGTTCCCCACACGTACGATTCATTGAAATTATTTTGTTTTGGTTTGATTCATACCAGTTGGGGGATTTGAGAGATTATCTGATCAATTTAATTACTTGTGGTTGTATTTTGGTAATTGCTGCGACGAAATATGTATTTTTGGTCAACGTAATATGATTGACAAAAAATATACACTGTTAGAAAAAATTTAAAATCTCATGAACAGTCGACTAGTAATTTGACATTGCACGAGATTTCAGGGGGAAACAATCATGAAATTTTAGATTTCACTGAAAATTCAATGAAATTCAAAATTTTTGAACAGCATTGTGATGAGAATGCTTCAAGCTATTTCAATTTTCAAGGCAATGATGAATTGGCAGTGCCGAATTACGATAAGTTTTCACTTAATGGAATATTTGAGAATATATTTACCGGAATTTTCCTGATTTCTGTTAATTTTCAGTAAATAATTCAGTTCTCACTGATTTTGCATGAAATTTTGAATTTTTGAGTGACGAAATTCCTTGAAATTTCAGTCGAACTGACACATGGTAAAAATTTCCATAAAGTGCACCGGAAATTTCAGCCGAAAATTGTTAACACTGCAGTTCAGGCGCATGCGCTGGAAATTTTTCTTTCAACCGTGTGACGAACTATATTTTTTTCCACACACCTGCACGGAAAGTTCGTACTTTCCTCCCACTCATCAAAGAGCAAAATACGAACTTTCCTTTGCAGGCGTGTTAAAAAATAGCATGTGCACCTCAGGCGGGAAAACATGACTTTCCACCCTTGAGGCACAATATACTATTGTCGGGGATTCACTGCATCTGCTCCCGGATGAACATCAATGCCTCTGCCCGTCGTCTACGAGGAGAATCTGCTTTCCATTCTTAAATAAAATCACACATGAATAAAAAATGTCTGTACGCGACACCAATTAGCTTGATCAATTAAAAAAAATTTAATCCCGAGTTTAATGTGATTTTTGAACCCCTAAAAATCGCGAATCGCCCCGCACGCGCGCCTAATTACAGCATAAACATGTAGCTTTACGGCTCTGCACTTTGCAAGCACTGTGCACCGCTTCAGCAAATATCGGCTGCCATTAACTCTTGCATACACGAGAGCGCAACACAAACATCCACATATTCCTGGGGCGTAATCTCCCTGAACGTGCGTGGCCAGCCTGATTCATACGAAAATACCCATTTAATTTTTCATGCTCATTCAATTTACCATCATTATCAAATTACTAATCTCGGGTTAGTGGAGTCTCCAGTGACTTAAAATGCGTCGGGAGATTAAGGGGAAATGCGAATGAACAAAAGACGTTGTTTTGTCTCGGTGCGAAGGACTTCTCCGTCCCTTCCTTTCCTGAATCTTCTCGACTTCATTTTACCGTCAGATAATATCGGAATTCAAACTGGGCAAGTCAAGAGGATTTGCTCGTGAGATTTAGCGTAATCTCCGTGAAGAAGAGATAAATTTTGGAAGAATAATTCTTATTTATTCGAGAAGTCGATAAAATTATGAAGGTTATAAGTGAAGCCATTAAAATATAGTGAAATATCATTTTTTATCACGAAAGAATGATGCATAAATACCATAAACAAATCATAAATCAATTGTTCGGTGCAAGACCGATTCTTTTCATTTCTCAATGGAGAAAAACCCCAAAACTAGAATTTATAGCGGCTGAGGGTCCTGTTCCCGGCTGCCCGTCCCTCTTTTTGTTGCAGCAGGACAGACTCTTTTGAAAGAGAGAAAATTCTTCAAAATTCCTCATTTTATGATGGTCATGTCATAAATTCAAAGGATTTAAGGAAAGGAAGGATTAAATTTTCGTTTTCTCCACACGTGCACACAGAATGTTCCCAAACCAAAATTGCAAGCCCCTGGTTTTCTTCAATAGCAAAAAAAGGGTTTTCAGTTGGAAGTGTCTCTCACACTTTCGAAACAGTCATTTCAGTCACGACTTCAAACTTTCTTTTAGCCAATTATTTTTAAGCAAATTTAGCCAATGAGAATTCGGCTATCCCTTCCTTTACGAGGGAGATCGTAAATTTTCCGTTGAAATTTACAAGTTAGTTATCCATTGAGACGTAGACATTTTTCTCTCTGAGCCTTTACTTATGTCCGCGGAATAATTCAAGTCAATTTTAATATGAATAATTCCAATACTCATATTTCAATTGTTAGTTAACATTGTGAGATTTCCAAAAGATAATTTGAAAATTCCAACGCAGTAAACAATAGTGTTTTTTAAAAACTTTCATATCTAAAACTCTGCATTAATTTGTGTTATCAATGGCATTTGTGCAATGAAAATTAAGGTGTTTAGCGAAAACAGTTTATTTCATTTCAACGCCTTTGAAACAACTCCTTGACTATCCAACACCAATAACTTTAGATAATTTCAACCGAATCCTCGCAATAAGGACCAAAAAAATTTATTATTGCCATAAACTTTCATAAAAATATCCTGTATCGAATTAAAACTAATTAAACTTTTAAGGCTACGTTTCCCATGCCGTAGCGCTCTCGCGCCCCATCAGTCTCGTATTTAGAACTGTATATTCAGCTCGATCCTAATGAAAGACAGATATTGATTCCGCTTGTTTATGCACTGATGAACACCATAAATCAAGAAAATAATTATTTCGCGTCCATTTATGAACGCCGAGAGAATAAATAGACCCGATCGACGATACTGATCGATCTTGCTCATTAGGCGTCTGCACCCTCACGCACAGCACTTTCCTGAACGTAACGAGTAAAAAAAAAGGTCGAATAAATAGATGAAAAATAAAGGTAACAAATCCGCCTTTCCACGAACGAGGGCGAATAAATAATTAACCCCCACTACTTTCTATTCTTTATACGCGGGATTACGATACTGGCTCAATCCAGAAATGGAACTGCGAGGGGTATACAGTCGCTCGCGCCAGGTCAGGATCACGATAGCGGCGAGGCTCAGTGGGGCCCAACGGGTCTCACTGCGCCTCTTTATCTCCACTGTGGCTGCCAATTAAAAGGCGCATTTACAACACCTTATTATATCGGCTCGCTCGTTTAGTTTGGCTATCGGCATGACCAGGTTTAAACAACGGGGTGTGTCGGTGATTCGTGGACATTCGGTTGTTTATTCATTCAACTTTTTTAGGGGCCCCTTTTGCGTTACTGCGTGCGGAAAGTCGGATGCGAATGGTGAGGCCAAATTGTGAAATGTAGGTGTTAGTGAATGCCATTTGCAACGAATGTTATTGCAGGCGTAATGCAAATGGGAACTTAAACAGAATGTAAACTTTTCATTCGCCGAAAAGGGTAGCTCACAACGTTGTATATACCTTTTTCATTCATTTCCCGCTTCTGTAACAAAAGGAAAAAGATGAAATGTAGTGGATTCCAGTGAAATTTCTCGGAGAATCGGAGAAAAAGTTCTAGTTCTCAGCAATTTTTATAGAAACCTTGGGGTTTCCCAAATTATTGCCCTTAATTACGGCGTGATATCGCAGCGTACTTAAACTTTTCCCCCTTCGTCACGAATCAACAAAAATTAGAAAACAAAATTACAGAATTCGAAATCACACTGTCAGAAATTTCTTGAAATTTTAGTCACAGCGTCATCTGAATTTTCGACGTCGTGGGGTTGAATTCAATTTCCAATGAAAGCGTTCATTTGAAATGAATGATTTCGCTAAATTTCTCATTCATCTTGTAAATTCAAGAAAATAGGGTTTTTCTTGTTAAACAATCATTGATTTTTCAATGAAAGCTTGAATTTTCAAACTCATCGTGAAAATTAAACATCACATACGCTTCAATTTTCAATAGGTGGAGAATTCAGAAAAGTTATTGCCTGACTTTTCAAAATTTTCAAGGTTTTTCAGTGCTGCACGGACCTGAAAATCGAGAATTACTTGAATATTGAAGAAATTAACTGCTTCGTCAATAAAGAAATATGTAGAAATTTTGTGTAACTTTGTCGTTGTTAAAAATTTCAAGTTTCTTCACTTGAAATTTCAAGAGTAATTTTTTAGCAGTTCAGAAACTTTTTTCTCTGTGAATCTATGCTATACATTCTTCAAGGCCTTTCCACCATCAAAAACGTTCTCCCACTCCTCAGGTATACTTCATATTCCTAACATTATGCACAGAAAACTCCGGAATGGGTCATAAATGAGCCTCAACATGTGAAAATCTGAAATTCATAGGTTATTTATCTTTCCTGTCACGGTTATTCCGTGCCCCTCTACTCGACCAAACTCAAGGACAGCTCAGTCTCAGCTTCTTTCATAAATCGATTCCTAAATAACTGATTCATCACCAATCACATGAATTTCTACGCGTCAGGATATTCTGATATTATAAGAAATCGGTTGAATAGAAACTAAGAGTATCAATTCGATGATATTGCCACCATTTAATTGTCCCATTGTAAATTTTCTATTTTAGAAGATTGAAGCTATAAAGATCCTTTATTTTATGTTGCAGAATGTATGGTAGTACAGCCCAGTGCGCGGGATGCTCGCAGACAATACCAGCGGATCAATTGGTCACAAGAGCGGCGGGGGTTGTGTTCCATCCCAAGTGCTTCGTCTGCAGCAAGTGTGGGGAGCCATTATTATCCGGTGCCAAGTAAGCATTTTCTCAAAGAATATTTTCTTGTGAATCGCTTTGAAAAGAACTCGAATCAACTCGATACTACTTTGATGTATTGATACCGACAAATCCAAACATTGATGGATATTATTTTGTGGGTATCTCTGGAATCATTGACATGACGATAATTTATCAGAAGATGTTTGTAACTAAAGAAATTTCCTGGAATACTCATGTCTCCTATTTTAGAACTTGACTAACCCTTTCCTTCTTTAGATGAATTCTGAGATATTCACAAATTAATACTCACATCATCATTCTTTCCTTCGTTAATACTAATACTACTTCGTTAAACTGTACTTTATCAGGACAGTTATCAAGAAAGGTCAAAGGATATTAGAGAAATAATTACAACGTTGATCAAATTGTCATAAATACGATGTTTCGCTGTTTATTTTAGCTTCATCAGGCTCTGGTCAAAAACTCAAACAAGCGGAGTTAATAGACCATATGCAAACAAACCTGAACTATCAAAACTTAACCAACCAATTCATGGTAGCCCTTAACATCTGGATAAACGTAAAAATATATCAAGATTCTCTGCGTTGACGTAATCAATGTTAAATCAAACTATTTCTAATTCTCGTATTACCCCGCGCTATTATTCGGTCAACCTTGGATGTGTTTAAGGTATAAATACATGGAAAAAAGGATGCTATATGCTATCCATTCAATTTCCTGACCTCTATATGAGGGAAACAATTAAATAATAATCAATGCACAAGTAAAAAGCCCGGGAATAATACAGAAATTGACTATATGGCTCGTTAAATATCATGTAATTCTAATTCTCATTGTAGGATCACGCAAAATTTCACAATTTGATGAACGTTGTAGTTACTTCCGCAACAACCTTTGACCTTTCTTGATAATTATTAACATTAATCACTATATTTCCATCAGAAGAACAACTCCTAACATCCACCCATAAACTTCCAGATACACTTTGATGTCAGGTCAACCAGTGTGCGAGCCAGACTGGCACAAACTGATGAAATCCTCATCAGTGGCATCATCAGGTGGTGTACAAACGATAACAGGAAACGGTGGTGCACCCCAACGGAAAAACAAGGTGGGCCGACCTCGGCGAAGTCGTGAATGAGGCGGTAACCCGGTCGGTCGACCGAAGAAGGTACAACCCACGACGCAATTGTTATCAGCGTCACCCGTCATCCCCTCTGCAGCCTCAATGCCTGGTGCAGTGCAAACACCACCATCTGGTGTTATGCCATCAAGCCAGGTTGACGTTGTGGATGTGGGTGTCGGAGGGGATCCCTATTCGCCGCCGCCACCGGGTCAACAGCACTATCACCATCATCACATGGGTTTGGGCCTTGTGGGACATCACCTGGTCCAACCGCCTCACTTGTCACACCATCCCCAGACGTCCTATCAAGAGTGGACGCACTGGGGTGAATCGTGCGATTAAAAACATTACGCTATGCAACAATCATTGTGAGATCAACTGTTCTTGTGCCGCGAGAGTGTTGACTATTGTACACAGACAACTTGAGATAGAGTTAATAGTGACCTTTTTTTTTCTACGGGCCATCAAACAATCGTGGAACTCTGATTGATAGAGCCCAATGCCGAATGGTTTTGAGACTAAGTGCAGAGAAAAACCGTGGGAGGATGGGAGGAAAATTAATGGATCCATTTCACGGATTGTTGCTCGATGCGAGCCGGGCTCTCGAGGATCACCTGATTACTTTGGATTCGACATTTAATCATTCTGCGACTTACAAAAAACAAAAATAACAACTGGATGAAAACAAACAAACCAAACTCAATGTACTTTTTTTGCCTGACTACTGCGCACGCGATTGAGGATAATTCAATAGAATTGAGCACGTTGGAGACGTGGCTTTTCGGGTGGGAGAATTGATTAGATTTTTCAGGGGTGAATTGCTCAAGGATTGTTTGCTCATTTTTCTCATACGTAAAAAAACCCATCGGGGCAATGCATTAACGCTCAAGCTTTCCCTATATCTATACATCAACAACAAAACCCCTCTGAAACTGTATAAATTATTATTACCAAGAATGAAAGACGATTCAGTGCATGTTAACGAGCCACCGTCAGATGGTGGGCCAGGTGGCGAGGGGTCTCTCCGAAAATGCCACCAGAAAATAAAAAGAGAGTGATTACCATTCCAAATTAGTTGAATGCGGCAGGTGGTTGGAGGAGCCTGTGACGAGACGAGTGGAAAAAAAATCTCTTAATTTTTTTCTTCAATCAGGATTAAAATATAAAATAGGAGAGTAATGGAAGGGAAAAAAAAGGTGGGGAGAGAATCGGAGTTGAAGAGTTCAAGGGAAGAGGAGTCGTAAAATGAGTACGATTGTGAGGAGGGTTTGGAGGGGTGGGTAGTCACCTCTTAGAAAATTATTTTTCTTTCAAAATCATCGAGCCTTTCGCCTCGGTGAGTGCGAAAGAGGTGACGCCTAAGTTCGTTAGGCGTCCCTTGTTTCCGTGGCCGAGGTTAACGGTTACACTTTCATGGAGCCCCCATTGGGCACCCGTCCCCCTACCACCTCTCCTGACGTGGCTCAAAGTCGTTGTAGAAGCTTGAACTCGTTTATTTTGCCGTGCGAAATGGCTAGAACGTCCTGAGATATTCATTTCTGAAATATACTTGGTTAACCTCACTCTCTCCATCTGTCGACGGCTTTTAATTTCTCGACGGTCTCGTTACATTTTCCACTGGCGCCCTGTGCCCCTCATGCATGAATTCACCCGGCCCACCTGAGTTTGAGTTTTCAATGCACAACTTTTTTATTTCACACTTTTCTCATTTTTCCACACCCCTACAAAGGCCCAACTCATGCATTACACCGTACACGCAACAAAACACTGTGAAGTACTTACCGAGTGTTGTACTTAAAACATTTATTTTCATTATTATCCCCCAACGTTTTCTACCTCGTCCTCGTGGCAGCATTAAACGATCGATAATGATGGGGGGATTAATGTTTGACTTGTATTTTCAACTCGCGTGCGGATTAAGTAGGAAAAAAACCCGAATTTGTTGACATTAACAGTATTTCAATCACGAGAAAAAAAAATCTTGGATGTTCGGGCGAAGGATTTGAATGTATAAAGAGGCGATTTAAATATCAGACTATCTCTGAGGAACAGGGTTTAAAAAAACGAGCATCAGCAATAAATGTAAAGTAAATGTATAATCCTTAATACATTCACGATATTAAGTATCTAATGTGTTTGTAGCTTAATGTCGTATTCTTGAGAACAAAGAGAGCATTATAGTTTAACGACATTGGCTCAAGCTCCTACAAAGCTCAATAACGAAATAAAATGAAATAAATAACAAAAAAAACATAAACAAAGTAAAGAGATAAAATTCTTGAATGTAAACTGTATAATACAATTGATCGTTATACGTTCCACTCGTTCTGTTCTTTAGCGAAAAAACTTTTGTCTTCAAAAACTGACTCCATATTTACATTTAAAAGAGAATGTGAGAACAGTGAGAGAAAAAAAAATAACAACAACTTGAAAACTAACGAGAAAGATGTTGAGGGGTCGATTGCAAGCCTGAGAAATATTCCTCCCGGATGGTGAAATAACAATCGATTTGTCAAACGAGTCGACTCTACGGCCCTCCTCTTACCGAGGAACGAACAAATCGCAGCTGAATTTTAAAAAAATGAAGAGAAATATGTAATTTAAACTTGTATATAGGTACATTTTGTATATTGTTAAAAATTTGTGTGATATAAATGGTTATTTACTATTAAAAAGGGAGATAAACTACATCTGACCTTTGGGTGCCACTGGTGGCGGAACTTCCGGGATTTCGCCACCAGCGACCACTGGGAACTGTCCAGTGTTGCCGGGTTGGAAGGTGAATTTTTTCGGCAGATGCACTTCCTTTTATTTTTTATATCGTAAATTGATGATGAATGGTCATTATGCAATTTTGCATCGGGCAATTTAGTACTTTTGTTCGATTAAGTCATCTCTGCAGCTATTTTTACAGACAATCTAACGTGAAATTCTATCTCGTTAACTCGGCAACACTGGAGACACGAAGTTGCGACCATGCGACGTCCTCGGGGGTAGTTACGAGTCTAGATATATCGAGACTAAAATATTTCAGACGAATGAAAATTGCGAGGGGAGAGAGAAATATTAGAGTTTATGGTGCGATCAATCTTCTTCGAGACGTCCCAACGAGTCTCAATTTCCTTCCCGAGGATGTTGTGGAGTAAATAAAAATGCGTGAGGTCAATGATTAGACGGGAGTGGGAGGTGGGGGAGATGATACAAAGTGATCAATTCACGTTTAGTTAATTTTGTTATTTGATTTATCTCAACTTTAATGCCGCAAACTGGGGCATACCTCTAGTCGGTTGCCCTGGGCACTTGTAAGATATTACGGCATACACGTTTATTAATTAATTAATAAAAGAGAAAAGGAAAAATCCAAGTTTCTAGAAAATTGTGATTGTTGTCTTTTATTTATCCCTCGTGTTTGGTGGAGAATTTGTAGTGGAGGAAGAAATTTGGAAACGGTGAGACATGTTCAGTAGAAAATACTTCTTCCTATAATCAAATTTCCCGTATGAGTTCTGAAAATTTTTCCCTTTTTCAATTGCAGATTGAGTCACTCATAAATTCATCGTTTCTTTCGTATTTTTCCGTTTATATAGAGTAAAAATATCTAAAACTCCGAGATATTGATAACTCATTGAACTGTTAATGAAATGAGATAATCTTTTTCTTTTGAGCTCAATTGATGGATTAGTTTATTGAAGTTATGAACATTGAAGAAAAAGTCAAGTGTCCATATCGCCCCACCCCAACTATTTTATTAAATTTTTTTAAAATTATAATTAAATGAAAAAGCACAAAAAAACCGTTATTTTTTTATGATCGAGATTCAAAAATAACGGTTCTGCAACCATTTTGAGATTATTTGAAATATAACTGTTTCAAAATCGAAATACTTCATTAACATCCTCACTCAACTCATTTCTATCAACTCACAAACTTTATAGAATCGGTGCTTTTTCTTGTACCTAAAATTTCGGAAGCAATCCGTAATTTTTTGGAGAAAAGGACCACTCGCATGACTCGGATTGTAGCATATAAATGGCTCCCGTCAACACATTAGCGCATGAAAAAATATGCATGTTCACTCCCTCGTTTTTGTTCTCCCCTTCGTCTCCACGGAATGAAGTCATTCACGTCAGCGATGGAATCCACATACTGAGGATCTCATTTTCTTGCTAGTAAGTGCGGAAATTTCTTTATCCAGTTTAAAACGACGAGTTTAAAAAATTCCACACTGATGTATAGTTTGTTGTTAAGCTGCTTTTTTTGGACATCTCAAAATATCCCAGTGCAAACGGAGAAATTTTCGGTCCTTCCTGTCTCCAGCTAATTGTCAGGCGAATAAATCGACGGAAGAGTTGGGTGTTGGGGAGAGAACGAGACAGTTGTTACTGGCCTTGCTATGAATCTTTGTGATCTCCTTCGTTAATTGGACTATATAAAATGAGAATACAAATACCACTGCAGCAACATTATAAAGAACATTTGAGAAATACAGAGAGAAAATCACAATAAAAAGAGCAACCAATTTTCTTAATGATACCTCAAACTTTTTAACCGCATAATTTTTCATCATAAATCCCAACATTTTTGCCATTTTATGGCAAGTCCAAACGACCCTGAACAAGATCCAGTACTTCAGAGATGGGAAGAAGAATCCATCAGTCACGGTTGCATAGTTTCTCAGCGATTGGAAATACCTGGCGCACCCGGAGAAATAGTATTCTTCCAAATGAAAAAATTTTGAAAAATTCGAAAATTGTTCCTGGTCGTTTTACAAACTGCAAAAAACGGAATATTCCCATGGACTGAGTCATGATTTCATGGAAAGATTATGATTGGAGGCTATGAGAATTGCACTTCACGTTTCACAAAGAGAAAATAATGGAAAATTCCAACTTCATGCGATTTCACAGAAAAATGAATCTCTCAAATCAAGAGCAGTCTTCTTATTACGGACATCATACGGTTTTTCTTTGCAATCTAAAGTGGAATTTTCTTGACGTTGTGATGATATGCCTTATTATTTGTTCAAATAGAAAGAATTTTCTTTTATTTAAAATAATAGTGATGATAAGGAAAACATAACTTTTTGACATTCTGGTTCATTCATCCACTTCATGACATGTTTTTTGTACGATTTTGGAAATAATTTTCTTGTCTACACTCTGTTCCATCTGCATTGTTATTAAATATTTGAAAACATTCAAGGGATGTTGAAAAAAATGAAAACAACTTTTATCTAATGCCATTTTGTGTTTTGTGATTGAGCAAAATGATAAGTAAATAAATGTTGTCATTCATTTAATAAATGACAATCTTTATTTGTTGTTATTGTTGACACTCATTTATGTCATTTCACGTTCTCTCGACCGTGTAAAATGACAATTATATAAATATTGTTTACTTTTTCTTCAACATTTGAAAATTTTCTTGTGAATATTCCGTGTGAAATCCCGGAAATTTTTATCATGTTTAATTTCCACTGAAATTTCAGGAAATCTTGTCATTGAAAAATCAAATATACCATTGATTTTTTCTTCGTATTATTAGAAAATCAATAAAATATTCGATTTTTCGTGCAATTAATCCATGAAAATTCGGAAAAATTAGAAAAATTCAGGGAAAAATTGAAAGTTCATGTCATTTTGTTTCTGAATTTTCATGTTTCATAGAAAATTCAACCAAGTTGTGAAATTCCCGCCTCCCGTTAAAAACTCATGAATTTCCTTAAATTCTACCTAAAACTTGAAATTTCATTACCATTATTCTCTTAGATCGGATTCAATGTCACTCTCACGAGAATTTCGAAAAATTTCCAACAATGAACATCCCTTGAAATTATTTGGATCTTCGCGCCTTTCTATATTCATATTCAGTGTCTATTCCTACTTCCGATGGATTAATTAAAGAATCTATTTACGTTCCTACATATGTTACATTCACCTAACTCTCATTACTCCAATTCCCGGCAAAAATATATTGCTTTAATCATCCCTCGAGTCTCTGTCCGTCCCCTTCATAGAAACCCCCCGGTGTATCTAATTGGCATTGCACGAAATTTGTAAAATGGAGAAAAGACCGTTTGGGTGTCGGAACCAATTCAGCATGAGAAAGGAGGAGATGACTCTCATCTAGAGTCTCTCGTCCAGCCCAATCAAAATACCTATACAGTATGTATTGCCGTCAGGTCTCGCTAATTAGACGCCACGTAAATCAGTCCCGAAACGTTTGGGCGTTAATTAACACGGGTTTCCGTTGGAGTCGCTTACCAACCTATTTATCGACACGACACCGAACGCGGCACAGGCGGGGACACTTGGGGGGCGGCAGGGAGGCCGGGGGGAAGCAGCAGTTAAGTGCCTAGATGCCTTGAATTAAAGAAGAAAAATAAACAACATTTTAACATCATTATAAGTTTATAAATGGAGAGGCGGAGTGCTTAAAATTGGACGACTTTCAGAGATTAATTTATGACGAGTTTCGCTTAATTATTACGTGCAAAAATAATTTAATAATTGGAGAAACTCGTGAGTACGTGGAATTAGGTCGTTCATGCAGTCAAACTCGAACTCTGATTCACTGTCGGAAATTCATGGTTGAATTTTTCAATAGAGCAATTAAAATTGCAGGAGGGTCTTTGGATTTTCGGATTTTCACCAAAAGTTATGAACAGGTGAACTAGTATTTTTTTAACTGAATAATTTATGACCGAGTATTGTTAACATTCATTGGACTTGTATTGGGGTAGAACGATTCTATGAAAAAATAACGTGATTTAAAAAATAGTGTTTGGAGATGAATCGTTGGCCAAAGATGATTAAATTCATTGCTGTTGGAGGAGCAGAAGTAATTTTTATAAAATTCTATGTTTGTAATGTTTATCAATGATCGTCCAACATAAAAAAACTTTTTCATTGAGTTCGCAATATGAATAAAAAATTCCATCAATGATTTGATGTCAAATTGAATTGAAATTCATGGCATTGAAAATTCAAATGCAGCTGTTGCATAAATTTTAAAGGATTTTTAACTGTGTGGAGGTCAAGGCTTACAAAATACCTTGAATGACAGAAATAAAGTTTTGTTCTCGTGCTTGTGGATTACTAAAATGTAATAAATATCTAAATTGCATTCAAGTTTTTTTTCCATGTATCAGTCGTTTGCATAATGCATTTAAGGATGTACTGCACCCTTTCGGCCAAAATTCATGTTTTTTTCATTTTTCTGGCAAATTATTGATCGTATTGACGCGAAATAATATACCGTTTTTGCGTTTTATCATTATGTAATCATTATTGCAATCATTTTCCTGCATTTTCCTGCAAAACAGGAAAATGATTGCACGATCATGAAATTTTGTGAGCCATTAAGTAATGATAAAACGCAAAAAACGGTATATTTTTTCACGTCAATTCGATCAACAATTAACCACAAAAATTCAAAAAACGTGGAATTTTTACGAAAAGTGTGTAATGCATCATTAAGAGTGCATAAAATTTATCACATTTGAAATTTGAATGATGAGAAGGAAGCTTTTCACACGTGAATAAGGTGATACATCAGCGCACAATATAAAGTCCTCAGTTAATCATGATTATCCAGGGAAACCCTCGCAGAAGTAAATTGCGAATTTTGTCGTTATTTTTTTCTCGAGACGCGTACACATTGTTGTTCCGACAATGTAACATCAAGTGGGGTATATTCACCGATGCGTTTGAAGCTCGTTCGAGAGAGGGGAGACAGAGGAGAGGAGGGAGCTCATTGTCGGCCAGCAGGAATTAATTATGGCATTCCGCGTTAGTTCAGAGAATTAATTACGTCCAGAAGTTGGACGTTCACTATGTGGATCGTTCGAAATTGTATTCCCGGGGTTTAAGGACATTGTCGGATTTCCAGGATTCACTCAACTGGATGACGGAAAAAATTGTGGAAAAAAATTGACGGGGGAAAAATGCGAAAAGGACGGTCCGTTTTACCCCTGTGGGTTGTAGGATATCGTGAGAAGGGATTCTATCAAGTGAAAGGTTTTCGTTCAATACTGAGTGAAATTTTTAACAAAATCTTCTCAACAATCAAAGCATTCATTAATTTCTAGGTTTTTATCGAACTTTTGTGCTACATTTGTCAGGAAAATAAACGTTTTTTACAAATTTTTTTATGCCGCAATAAATTTCAGCTGGATTGACTGAAATAAGGGTTCACTGGCTCTGAATATTAAATAATGAAATTATAGAATTTATACACGGAGAAAAATTTCTAGTAAAATTTACCCTACCGTATAGTAATCGTGTTGTATACTGGCTCCGAAGGAATTTTTACCCTGACATTGTAGTAAAAAGTGCTATGAGTCTAGTAAAAATTTCACTATTTTGGGTAAAAATT